CCACTCCATTAAAACGTCAGAGCTGGTCTTTTAAATGTTAAAAAGGACTTGAAATGTCACAGTGCCAATTTGTGATCCAGCAACATCAATTCAATATAACACATCAGTTCAGCATTGTTCATCAAACAAAACTGCAGAGGTAATGCTGGAAGATGTGTCGTCATATCATACATTAGTTAAAATGACTTCAGATTGTCTGGGCTGCTATCAGTTATGTCCTTTTTTAAGAAGCAGTATTGCATATTGCTGTATCTCAGTAAGAGATAAGTCGCTTTAAAGCTTGTGAATTTCAAATGAAGGGGAGCTTAATGTAATAAAAAGATGCTTAGACACCCTAATTAGCAACAATAGAGCTGTAAAATTTTGAACAAGACAGCTAAAGCACCTGCTAGACGTTCTTATTGTGCAAAAATTAATTAGGTAGTTTTAAGTTATAATTATGATGTGCATAATTATAACTGCAGTTATAGCTGTCAACACACAAAGGTGAAAAACATTCATTAATCTATTCTCACTTAAGTAGACGTGTTGAACTCGTTGTCCTGGCTAAATTCCAGGACTTTATCTGACCTCAGTAAATTTCCCCTTTAATTTGGCTGGTGAAGTAGGTTCTTAAATTTCCACCTGAGCTGCCATGTTCTGGGGCCACTGACCTACAGGTATCATACCTGCTGATTTTTAAACTACATTATTATTGTAATTAATTGTCCTATCGTCATTAGCATTCAGATAAGTGCTACACCTGAGTGGTTGATGATCTAAATCCCCTCTTATCTGTAAAGAGCTTTTGTATCCTTTGAAATTAAGTACTTATACTGTAATAATATCTCATATTTGTACCCCATACTGTAGGAGGAGCTGTCCTTCAGGTGAGGTATTAAAATGAAATTGATTCACTATCTGAATCACCGAGAAGCATCAGGGAAGCCAGATATAATTCCAGTGGAATCCAGTAGAGTGGAATCTAGCCAGGACATGGGGGACAATACCTCTTTTGTCACAAACAGTGCCATGGGATCTTAAATGACCAAACAATGAGAGCTCACCCCATTTCCTGATCTGCTATTTTGTGGGGCTGCTGGTTTGAAATTAAACAATAGTAAACAATATTCTCTGAATGAATGGCTTATTAACTCTTGATCTGAGCCAAGGTTAGGTACTGTATGTATATCATTGCCAAGGAAAAAGGTAATTAGTTTATGCAAATTCTTCATATTTAAAGATAACAGATGGATGTATTCTTATTTTAGCAACTTTTAGAACAAAAACACCTAATGGTAGAAATACTTTCATGCTTTTAAATAAAGATGGAGCAGAACAAAATAATTAAATCTACTGACATCTTTTAAGGTGTTCTATTTATGTTGGTGTTACAGTAAGGTCATGATATTAACCCTTTCTAAAAAAAAGACCCAAGTGAATTCCTGAGTTTTAAGAATCAACACGCAGAGGCAGATTAAAGAAATGGCCACTTTTAGTATTGAACAGAGGAGATTATAAAAAGACTGTAACGGAACAGTTCTTTCCAGACCCTATGAGGACGACACAATCCGGGATGGAGTGAGGAAACACTAGGAAAAAGTCATGCAGGAATACGGGGATGAAAACAGAGGGGAGTGTCAAAAGTGCGCAGCTGTCCAGCGGTCAAACAATCCAGTAGAAATCCAAAGGGGGAATCCAAACACGAGCAAAGTTCAAAGCCGGGGAGTCCATCCCCAGGAACAGGGGATAAAACCTTAACAGGACCAGGCGCTTCCAGGTCCCGGACTCGCACGATACGGAGTTCAGATGCAGAGCCTAGATTAACGTCAGGCTTTTAAGGTGGACTGGGAACAGGGGACAGGTGCACATAATCAGGTCCGAAGTGAAAGGGCCGGAGCACCCTTAAGGGGGAGGGACTACAGTCATGACAAGGACTCTCCATATGAATTCAAAATCATCAAAGGTATTGACAAACTCAAACCAATAGACTTAGAAAAGGCAGGCTGCATGAGACCTCTCATCAATAAGCAATCATGCTGGAGGGACTGACTTCTGTTGGTTTCATCCTGTCTTATCTGCATAAGCTCTTCAAAAATTAAGGTGAAATTGATACTGTGTTAATCCTTCCTTCTGCACATCAGGAACTCTTAATAAAACATCTCGAAACACATTAGAATCTTATTAAAAAGCCATACCCTTGGATCTGCATTGGTGCTAATCTTCTTAGCATAAGCCCAATTACTTAAGGTGCTTCATAAAGATATCTAAAGCTCTTTAATCCTAAAGACAGCTTAGAAATAGGGTAGAAGGTGCATTTAAAAGTTTTTTAGTGACTTTACAGTCACGTGCATTTCAAGTGTAACATTATTGTGTTTCACAGAGGAGCTGTGAGACACGGGCGCTGAAAATCTTTTCCAAGTACTCATATTTTATGAACAACAAATTGGAAGTGGTATAATTTAAAACATGTTTAAAGAATGTTTTATCCTAGTACTAGAGCAAACAGGAAAACAAGCTAGAACTCGATCTGTCAGAGAAGTGACTTTTGAGTTGTTTTGTTTTTTGATGTCATTTTTGGGTCTCGGAAAATGTCAACTTTACATATCACATGGAGCGATTTATAATGGTTGTCATTTGAACAATTAAAGTTGTCAGTCTGCTGTATTTAGTCACACAATTATTTAAAACCCAAAACTTTTCATCAGAAGAATATATAAACATGTTTTAGACACTGTGGATGTCATGAACATCAACAGTCTACTGAGATCCTTCACTTGGTTTTTACTATTATAACAACATTGTAATTTGTGTATCTTAGCATTAGTGAGTAGAACCTGTTTTTGTAATTTCTCTTAAAATCTTCAAACTCTTCACAACAGCTCCAGGTATACTCCACAAGATAGCCAGTATGACATACTGTCGTAGGTAATCTGTCATCCATCAGATCTAATTTGTCAGACAACTCCTTGTCAGGTGTTCCTACTCATTAACATCATCATCTCTAGGCCTCCATGATACAAGCTAAAAGGTCACTTTTTATATGACAAAATCAAAACTTTCAAGGTTAATTGCTGGGTTAGAAAAGTTAAAACCATTTGAGTAATCAGAATTGCGTTTTTGCATGAATAAAGGAAAATGTGTAGAACTATGCTTGAGATCTTTGCACAGCCATGGATGAATGTATGTTTATGTAAGGCACTGTGGCTCAGGATCTGCGCCTGTGGCCAAAAGGTTGCCAGTTCAAATCCGCAGCCGGCAGAGGAATCCTCCTCCGTTGGGCCGCTGAGCAAGGCCCTTCACCCCAGCTGCTCCAGGGGCGCTGTATAAATGGCTGACCCTGCGCTTTGGCCCCAAGCTTTTCTCCCTGTCTGTGTCTCATGGAGAGCAAGCTGGGGTATGTGAAAAGACAAATTCCTTATGCAAGAAATTGTATAGGGCCAATAAAGTGATCTTACAGTGCCATTGTACTTAACCACAGGAAACTGTACCACTTTCCTAGTAGGTCTTATGTTACTCAATCAGGAAAGGCAGTGCTGGGTGAGCCTACAGTATAGTCCAGAGGTTTCTGTGTAGGATCAGGGCTGCTGGCAGGTTTTAACCAAGTTAAAATGGTTTGCCAGGATTTCCACAGCTCTCCACATCAATGAACTGGCTGAGCTACAAAAAGCATGTGGTCTGTCTGATCCGTGACAGGGCACACACAAAAGACACAGACACGCACGCACTCACACCAGTGCCAATTCTCCTAGAAGCCAGTTAATCTACCAGCATGTCTGCACTGTGGGAGGAAACATTATCTGTATCAGAGAGCTCCAACCTTCTGGAGAGACCCAACCCAGTTATTCTTATAGGTCACCACATATTATCTGTTACATGCTTATAAAAAATGATCAATGTTTGAGTGAAGGGAACATTGCTCTTTGAGAATTTTTGTTCTAAATAATCTCTTAATGACATTAGAGACCTCCACCTGTTTAATTGCTGATAGTTAACTTGTTTTGAGACTTTAGAAATTGATTATTTAAAAGCTACATATAAAATCTGGACTGGGGTTGGAGACCCTCACACCTGAAGAAGGCTCCACGGCCGAAACGTTGTGTTCTCTTTCTTCTTTTTTTCAGCGTGGAATCAACCTATTTCTTGTTCCTTTGCAGCCTACGCATGCTGACGCAGCTACCCACCTGAATTCCTATATCAGTCTTTATCAGTTCAGTAAAATATAAAGAACTATTAAAATGTTAATCTCTATTTAAGACCCTGCACTTGTTTCAATTTAAAATGAAGCTGCTGAATAACGCTGCTACTTTTATCGTTAATTAATTGAGCATTAAGCATTAATGAAATTATAGAAAGGTGTTTCAGAATCCCATTCAAAAGCTACTTTCTCAAAGTTGAAAAGCTACCCCTAGATCTTACACTTCGGAAATAAAAGACGTGCAGTCAGGGTGGAATCTGTCTGAACAGGTGAGCTTGCAGTTGGTGCTCCAAAGCTGACAGAGAGAAACAAAAGGCTCAAGACTCAGACATTGATGATATATTCAAGATCCCATGCACTCAGCTTCACTTTAGACTCTGTGTACATTTCAACGTGAGACAGAATTAAAACCTTTTTTCCTCTTTTCCAGCATTATGAAGTCCTCCATAGTACCTCCGCTGTTTCATGCCCGGTTCAATGCTAAGTCAAGGACGTACATCTACCGATTGGTGACGGGGCTCAGAAATTCCTCCCAGCTGCCCGTGTTTGAGAAAGACCTCTGCTGGCTGGTGCAAGAAGAGTAAGTTTGGCGATCGTCTCTCCTTCCAGACTCCGTGCCCTGATATCTCTGTCAATATACACCCACCTGGTGTGTGAAAACAGCTGGGGGTGGAATCCGAATATATTCTAATTAACATGACAAAACTGCAAAGAAGGTTCCTAAAAATATATAACTTTTAACAGTTTCCCACCGATTCCGAAGCAGACCACAGCACCACTGACTACAGCACCACCCTGAAATTTCGTGAGGTGAAACCTATGTCGAATTATAAATGTTACATAACAATTAAGAATTAACTGTAATCTATTGCGCAATATAGTTTATTTTTGAACAATTAGGGGTAAGTATTGCACCTACTGATCAGTACAAAACATTCCTGGATCTGGTCATGTAAATGAATCTGAGATTAATGAGAACTGAGACCTGTGGTTAGGGTAAAGGTCTATTGAAAATGCAATATAGCAGAGTAATGCTTCTTGTTCTTGGACAATCAAATAACATTGAAAACACAAATGGAGTAATGATGTCAATTTCTTATGACTGGGACATGTGGATTCACAGGTGTGATGCCACATTTAAACAAGTAAAGTGAGATTTGCTTGCTGTTGTGTCTTAAAGTCTACAACAAGAACTATGAAAATATTAACATGCCATTCAGGTGACACATACAGTAACCATGTTCGTGGTCTAGATCTAGCAAGATAACATCTGTATGTGCGAGAATATCTGTGCAGTATTTCACTGCAATCCAATAAATTGATACGTTGAACTGTGAAACACAAACCCCAGAGCACAGGTGGAAACTATGTGGAAGTGCACTTAAAACTGAAAACAGGAGGCACCTCTTTACACAAATGGTAGTAGGGGTATGGATCAAGGTACCCAGCCATATTGTTGAAACTGATGCTCTGGCTTCATTCAAGTAGCAGCTGCATGAGATCCTGGGATCAATTAAGAACTAACTACCATATGGGCTGGTTGGGCCAAATAGCTTTCTCTTGTTTGCAGCCTCTCTTAAGTTCTTACAAACAAGTTTATGATGTGATACGATAGCACTTTACTGTCTGAGTTCTCAGACGTTTGTTGTGCGTCCAGCAAGTTTGAGTTATTAGAGAACAATCAGGTGCAAGGCAGCTCTTTTTTGTTAATCTTTTTGTGCCGATTTGAAAAATAAAATCCCATTGACAGGAGATCTGCAGATGTTAATCATTTTTTTATTCTCCTGCTTCATTTCTGGAAAAAGTAGGGCAGGAGAAGCTGCAGGCTTTTCCAGCTGCCTGGTGTCATCCACCCACTCCCTCCCTCTCCTGCTCCCCAGCAGGCCCTTGCTTAGCATTACTGCGCAGTATTACGTCTTTTTTCACAGTTGTGTAACTGTACTGAAAGTAGCCGATGCATATCAGGTGTAACCCTGATTTGTTTTGATAGAGTGGCGATAACACACCGCAGCAAGAAATTGTGATTAGAGAAGAATCCCGTAGCTATCCTGATCTATAGCTGCTTGTCAGACAGTACATAAGATCCAAGCTGAAAACTGTTCCAAAACTTTAAAACAGCAGGAAAGTGAAGGTTATGCCTATATGATTGCTTACTTGCAGCATATTCTTTCATAGAAAGGCCAATTTACTCTCCTAAAAACTCCACTTTTGCTGTTCAACAGTATTATTCAATAGCCTTATGTTTTAGTATTGCCCTGTGTGGTCTCTTTGCTTTTTATTTTCTCTACACTTTGAAACGTGGTTTGTGTTGTGTTTTGCTTTTTCTGGGCTGAAGTGATCAGTTAAAAGTCCTCTGCAAGTATCTTATTTACAGTTACAGGATGGGGTTAATGTAATTCAAGAGCATAAGAAAACGTAACAATGAAAAGAAGTCATTCGACCTTTAAGTGCTCATCATATTCCTATAAAAACCCAGTATAAAGTCCCCCGCCTACACAATGTGTCCACAACAAAAGTGTTAGGTTTGGTGCAAAATTGACTTTTAACAATGTTTCATTGATTTCTCAAGATTGTAATTTGAAGTTAATTTGATACTACTGTTGCAATCAATCTTATTTCCTTTTAGATATTTTTTCTGATACTGAAAATATCACATTCTTTTATTCCATCCTCAAAGCCCATATCTATATGACCTGCAGTGGGTCTTGTTGCTCTTCAAAAATGTTGGTCTATGGCTTCATTCATTCATGCATTCATTACACTGGAGACCAGAACTCTATGCCATACTCCTGAAGTGGTCTAAATAATGTATTGTACACTTTCTACCTTGATCTTTCACCTTGATCTACATTCTGTACTTCATACTATGCACCTAAGCATTTTGTTTGTTTATGATTGTTACTGTGTGTTTCCTAAGTACTGGGAGCAGTTCTTTAATTCTGTTCCTCAAGTCGTTGTCCCACTGTGGACTTGCATATCTCATAAATTAACAGTGCCTTAGATAAAGGGATGAAGGTATAAGCCCCGTGTGATAATTGTAACCAAGCAGGCTGGAAGTGAGCATAGTGAAAGCCCTTTGAGCCATGAAGACATTTTGACTTACTCCATTACTCCTTTGGGCTGTTCACTGTCTTAAAAGTCGTCATATGTCGCTTCTAGGAAGTACATCAGCTCTTCAGTTGGAACTAACATGTTGACAACCAACATGTTGACAGGAAATGTTTTTCACCATCAGGGAGGAAATGTTTTGATGAAATATCACAAAATGGTGGCAAGTTAAAAACACTTTACCTTTAAATATATCAATCTAAAAGAACTATTTCAGCAGTAAACATAGGAGCTTGTTGAGTATGTTTAAGATGATTGATTCCATAATCCTATTCAGCTCTGCTTCTAGGACAATCCCTGGGATTCACTGTCAACAACAGAGCTGGGTGGAACTGCACATGACTGTGCACGAGGAAGAGACTCTTTTTTTAGTCCTGAATACGCCTCTTAATCTTCTCTTTATGACCTCTCTTCACTGTCCTTCCTGAATCACTCATTTAGGCTGACTTTGTAAATACCATTCGGGGTTTTGAATACCTGAATTCAAGTTTAATCTCCTCTGATTAGAATTGATCAGATTCAGCTGTTTTAATCTGTCTGTGTAATATCCCTTTCAGACCTCAAATCTGGATGCTCATATTTGAAACTCTTTCTAGGGCCATGTCCCTTTTTGTCACTTGGTGATCAAAATGAACAACAGAATGAAACGTGACAGAGGAAGACTTGAAGACCAACACATTAATGTCACTAGAGATTAATGACATTGATGTCCTTCACTGAAGTACTGCATCACCCCAGTCCCCACCATATCTCAAGCTCTAACAAGGCTCCCTACGTTACTCAAAAAGTGACCGCCAGCAAGAAAAAAGACCACCTGCCTGGAATTAAGAGAACTTAAAAGTGGTGACATCTTTTATTCTGATTATCGTTATGATCATAGATCTTTGTCCAAGGAGACTTACATCTGAGCCCATTCTAAAACCTGAAACGTGAACAGTATGGACATGTATTCAAGTTCAGTGGCACACACAAATGAAATTCCCTCATACAATGGTTTAACCCTGTCATACCCAAGCTTAGATTTTCTTCATCGGTGATATGAAAAAGGGTCAACAGCCAAAATGTTGTGTTTCTTCTTTCTGCTCAGTGTGGAATTCACATGTACTTGTTCCTCCTTATTATCCATCCATACATTTCTTAACTGCTTTATCCAAAACAGTGTAGCGGGGGAACTTGAGCTTATCCCAGTCAGCAATGGGGACAAGGCCGGATGCACCTCGGTCGTGATGCCAGTACATCTCAGGGTACACACACACAAACTCACACACGCACAGCAGGGCCGATTTGCCCAGAAGCCGATGAACCCACCAGCATGTCTGTGGACTGTGGGAGAAAACTGAGCGCCTGGAGGAAACCCATATGAGAAGAACATGCAAACTCCACACAGACAGCACCCCAGATCTGGAATTGAACCCAGGGCCCCAGCGCTGCAAGGCAGCAATTCTATACATGCCCCACCCTACCTCCCTTCCTTATTTTTATAAGTTGTTTATTTATTATTTTAAGGAAATCTTAGAATCTAACTGTAAGAATTCTGCTTGCTCTGATTCTCCGTTATTGCGCTTCTCCTCTTACAGCCAACTGAATGTGGAGGCCATGCAGGAAGCTGCCAGGCTTTTCCTGGGGACACACAACTTCAGCACGTTCCGGGCCCTCAACTCCGAGACGCCCTACAAATCGCCCGTGAAGACAATGCTCCTGGCAGACATCACGCCTGGGTACAGTTACTTTGCACAGCATCACTTAAACAGGTAGGCATGGCGGCACTTGATAGTGGAAAGAAAACCTTCCGAAAGTCCAAAATATAGGGTCTCTCCTTTTGTTTAAAAGCTGAGTGTTGTGATCAGGGCTGCAGTTCAATTGGTATAAACATGTCTTCTTTAAAGGGAGACTTAATGCCAGCTGATTTTCTGAGCACGTCCAGACCGTTTGCCTGATGGATAAAGAAAGTCTGTGAGCTTTGGTGCCAAGGAATGAGATCTCCATAATAACACAATATATATTCCTTATACTTTTTAAAAAAAGGTAACATGCAGAATGCAGCAGTGAGTTTAATTCAAGTTAGCTTGCAACACACAGTGTGGGGTGTGTAGTATTCAAGTTGTCCGTAGATGGCTTCCTCTTTATCGGTGAACTGCTTGGAATACAAATCCTGGAAAAAGCAGGACATCTCATCTTTCATTCAGAAATGCAAGACCTGGTTAGGTGGTTTTCATGTTTCACATGATTTGCAGTTTTGAGAAATATCTGACAGTTAAAAGACATTTAAATGAGATGATTCAGATAAATCCCTTTATATAGCATCTCGTTTCAAAGTTTAGAAAACACGTCTTAAGAAGGGGTTCTCCTTTAGGCACTGACTACACACAGACTGACTGGGATGATGTTAAAGCTTTGATACCCAGTGGCTAGCAGGATAAAAATTAAATTCCTCCTTTTTTCCTTAAGATTTTCCTCCTTTGGATTTTCCTCCTGTTTCTATACTGTACATTCAGTTCACTCTTCTATAATCTACCTTGTGAAGCACCATATGTCACAGTTCTACAGCTATGCAAATGGGAAACGGTGTTCTTCTGACACCTGGTGGGAGTTTCTCTGGCTGACAGAGAGATTAGCACAGCGTGCGATGCTTTCACACGTACTGTAAGTAATACACAATGTCAGCATGCACACTTCTCAGGTTGGACAGCATTGATTTTGCTGAGATCTTTATCCAAGGCGTCTTATATTCAGCACAGTAACTGGACTGAAACAAATGCAGTGCTGTAGTTACATACTGTAAATACATACATATTGTAACTACAACTGTAGCAGCTATATCACCCTGCAACTCACAACTGGCAGCCCCGCTGAAGCTCAGCAGGTGTGAGCCTGGCCAGTACCTGAATGGGAGACCGCCTGCGAAAAACTAAGGTTGCTGCTGGAAGAGGTGTTAGTGGCACCAGTAGGAGGTGCTCACCCTGTGGTCTGTGTAAATTCTAATGCTCCAGTATAGTGACGGGATATTATCTGTAAAAAGGTGCTGTCCTTTGAATGCGATGTAAAACAGGTCCTGACTCTCTGTGGTCACTAAAAATCCCAGGGAGTTTCTTGAAAAAACAGTAAGGGTGTCAGCCTTAGTGTCCTGGCCTTTAATAGGCATGGCCTCCTAATAATCTTCATCTGTTCTCCTCCCAGCTGAGAGCTGGTGTGTGGGGAGTGTACTGGTGCACTATGGCTGCCCTTGCAGCATCCAGGTGGGGCTGCACACTGGTGGGGGAGGGGAGTTCCTATTACCTGTAAAGCGCTTTGAATGGAGTGTCCAGAAAAGTGCTATAAAAGTGTTAAATTTTTATTGTTTAAAATAATTATTATTATTGTTATTAAGAATCATATAAAAGAACAAACAGCAGTCTGAAAAGGTGGTCCTTGAGGAGCTCTTTAAGCAGTGGTTAGAGGTCTTATAGTCCTGGTGTGCCCAGGTATCTGCCTCTTCTGCAGGTGCAGAAGTGAAGATTCAATGGTGGTGGAGCAGTTCTATAGCTTATTCTGCAGATCTGTCACCTGTTCTGCTTTTTCAGGATTGTGTTCACTGATTACACAAAGGATGATCCACCTAGTGCTGATTGCCAGGTTACAATCCTTCTATTGGGAGTTCAGATGGCACCATAATCCCTGAGCTCTTTCAAAAACAAATGATTAAACTAGATGTTCACTGGTGATGTGATAAACAGCGTCTCCCTTTGCACACAGGGACCTATAGTATGTTTTAAATTGACATTAGCAGCTCCTCCAGACCCACAAGGCTGAATGACTGAAATTCATTTACAAAGCTCTAAAGCCTACAAAATGAGTCAAACTAAAACAACAAAAACTGCTTCACGCCAGGAGAAAGCAGCCAATTGAAACCATTTTTGTTAGTTTCGGGAATAGTTTCTGTGGATAACCCAGGAAAGTAGAAGCGAATGATCATTTTTATTTTCCGAAATGTCACTATTTGACATTTGTGGCACCACTCCAAATGAAGCCACCTCAGGGATTCAACTCTACACCACACAAAACAAATTGTGCTGCTTCATGGTTGTTACAGCATCGAAGGAAGCTCCTGAATATGAACAGGTGACAGTGGGTTAGAGGGAAGAGGGTTTTGTGTGTGACTGTGCTTAGCGTATGGAGGGCGTTCTGCTAATTCAATTGCCCACCTGGCTGTTTCTCAACGAGGGTCTTTGAAGTCTTTCGAAAACTGTCTTGCTGAAGTTGCTGGTTAGCAACATTAAACCGTAATTTTGCCAAACCTGCAAAGCAGGA